GGTGGCATCACGCGGCCTCTGCCAGGCCGGGACCTGTGACCGCAGGAAGGGGTCACGGGAGCCGCCACCCGCCTGTCCCGGAGAAGCCGACGGGCCGCTGCCCAGCCACCTCCTCCTGCACTGCGGCTCCGCGGGGCGGCTGGGGACGCGGCGAAAGAAAGAAAAGGGAAAACGGGGATCGGAAAGGGAAGAAAACATTTCATAAGCTCTGCGATTTTCTCGTCATCTTTCCAAAAGACTGGGAATTATGAGATTCCTAAAGAAAAAAGGGAATGGCATATAGAAAGCAGCCTCGGTAATGAAGTTGGGGGAAACTCCTGGACCGGGTGTCTGGAGAACTCAGGACCTTAAACAGGTCACTTACTCTCTCTGGGCCTCAGATTCTTTATCTGTAAAATGAGGGTGTAAGACCTGATTGAAAGACCCTGCCGGCCTTAAAGGTTCCCTGATTGCTGGAAGAGACGCCATTCCGAACCCAGAGCTCTTGCAAAAACACTTAATACTTATCCTTTGCCTGGTCTAATTCAACACCTGAAATGACACGTGATCACTTTCTTTTTTCAAAAATAAAAAAAATATATATTTCTTAATGTGTGTAAAATGGGTTTGGAGTAAGTACTTTCAAATTCCCAAGATAAATTCTGTCATAATTGTACAACAATCATAATTTTGTTTAAAATCGGCTTTCAGTAAAAGCACTATTTTTTCAACTTAAAAACATATTTGTGTCACAAAAAAAAACAAACAAATTTTTAACTATCTGATCAAAAGAAAACTTTAGGGGGACAGCTTCAATTTTTTGTCACTACTATAAGATAGCTAAGTGTCCTGTTTGCATATTTGATATTTCTGAATCTTTAATAAAATTGTTCTTGTGTTTTTATATGTGTATATTCATCAGCTTTTAACATAGCAATCTTATGTGACCTAAAGACACACAAAGGCACATATTTGAAAGCTTATGAATAGAGGGGGAAGGAGCTGAAATTTAATTGCATACAGAATATCATGAGTGAAACAAGTACAAAAATGTAAACCACACAAATTCAGTCTTTCTGTGGAACAATCAGTAAATGTATATGTTTTACTCTTAAATATTGATGATCCACTCAATGTTTGGTTGATTGCTAAGCTTAAGCATAAACACAAAGAAAAATGTGAAGACAGTAAGGCTGTCCAAACACCGCTGATTCATTAGCAAAGCAGGCATTAAATCACAGTGGCATGTGAGTCCGTTTATTCAAATTTCTCTTACAGAATATTTTTGAACCAATTTTAGGAAATCGAGTCATTTGGCCATGCAAAGACCCTGGGAGCTGACAATTCAGGACTTTCTTGTGTTCTGCCATGCTGCCTATGTTGTGTATTTTCCAAATAGTGTTATTCTCACCAGCTCTTCTAAAGAGTACTGTCCATTATCAACCTAAATAAAGAGGTAAGCCAAGGCAAACTCAAAATCGTGGAAAAGACGAGTTTTATTCAAGAGTAGGAGAGAAATTGTAATTCAGGAAATGCAAAGTGTAGCAAGCTACAAGCTAATCTGTTGAGGGTTTGGGGTAGGCTGTATTTATGGGCAGGGAATGTAAAGAAGGGAGAGTTCAGTTCGAGTATGTCCAAATCAAAAACAAACAGACCAACTTTAAATATTCCCTGCCCACATAAAAACAATCTAGTCGAACCAACAAAACCCGATTCATAAAGAAGTTGGAAATACCCCATTAAGCCCCTAAACAAAATATCTAACAGCTTATTTTATGGCATAGATTTAAAAATAGTGCAAATGTGACGGCTACATTGTGCACCAAAATGCAACTAGAAAGAAGAGCAAAACCCAAATGTGGATTAAGGACATATTGCAAAGTCAATCATACTTTGACTGTCAATCATTTGAATTTATTAATTCTGAAAATTATAACAGCCGTTGAGCCCTTATTATGTGTCAAGCACATGGTTTTCATATTCACATTATCTCATTTAATTTTCTCACCAATCCTATAAGGTAACTATTACTGTTATCGCCATTTTTATATGTGAAGAAACAGATACGGGAAGGTCCAAGAAATAGCCCACAGCAAGGAAAGGACAGAGCTGGTGCTAAAAGTCATTCATTCAGCTTACAGTTAAAGATCTATTTTATAAATAATATACAATTATATGTGCTTTCTGATAAGGAAAATCATTTACAGAAAGCATCTAAACCCCAGAATATTTAAATGGGTTATTCTCCCTTAGCCTTAATAAATAACGAACTTCCTATGATTATTTCCTGTAAGTAACATCATCCTCAGAAACGATGGCACAGATGAATCATAAGTGGCAATCCAAACCAATCGATGAGTCCAGAAAGACATAAATATCTTGATTTTTAGAGTGCATTTAACCTCAGGTCCTAAAAAATGGTCATTTTATGCCTTTATGTGCCTGTCTTGTTGGTAATAGAAACAGATTTAAGAAGCCAAGGTGAAGAATTTTACTAGTTATTAAGCTGTTTTATTTAGGCCCAGCCCTTTCTCCTTGTTGATTTTTCCATGTGAGGTTTCTTTTCACATTTCAAGGAATCATGATATTAATTAAAAGGGATTATGTATTAAATCAATTTGAGGTCAGATTCTTGATGCTATTGAGGACAAGCTGAATTTAGAGCATATATCAGCTCAGTAGAATCACATAATTCTGATAATATTTTTTAAAGATCAAACTAATTTTCTTCACTGAATTTCACTTTTATAGTGTTATCTTATATATAACTGCAATATTTCTTGAAAAATGAGTGATAAGTTCAAATTTAGAATTTCAGGATCCAATTCAAACATTAATTCTTTTGAAGCCCCTCAGGGAATGCTGTTATTACTTGGCTCTCTTGTGATTTATGTTTTCACTCGTCAGTGAGATATCATAAATATTTCCTCATAATATTGTGTATTTCTACACATACTCACTGATATAAACCGTATTTCATCCGAACAGTTCAGGGACCATTAGTTTATTACTTGTCAGAATATATCTAGGAGTTTCATGTGTCACATATACTATTTCTAATTTTGTAGCATAAAAAAACAAAGCAAAACTTTCCAGAGATAATTTGAATATGGCTTGGAAACTTTTGCATATTGCAGCTGACTTCTCTGCATTGGAAAATTATAGGTTAGGCCACTTGAAATCCTTTAAGAATCTGGAGCAATAGAAAGAACGGAACTGTACTGAGGCTTTGTCTAAAAATCCCACAACATTTCTCAACTATTTAAAAAATTCATGTCCTTTTTTGATACATAGAAAAGTCTCCTAGCTCAGTGAGATTCCAGTAATTCCCTTCCCACCCCATCCTGCTATCGCGAATCTGCATTTTCAGGGCATCACCAACAGCCAGTTTTGTCGTGCTTCCTTCTCTGTGACTTATACAATAAAAATATTAATTTTTTAACTGTTTTAAATTAAGTTTATTGGGGTAACATTGGTTAATACAATTATATAATTTTCAGGTGTACATTATAATCTGACATCTGTATATTTATTGTGTGTTTACCACCCAAAGTCCAGTTTCCTCCAGCTACCATATATTTAAATATTAATTTTTAAAAATGTTCCAAGTATAAAATTACCC